AAAGTTCGCTTTATTTAATGGACATACGAACCAATTTAATGCACTATATCATTATTATATTTATTATTTTGCACATGATATACGGGCAAGAAGGCGGAAAGCATAAAGAACTGAGGCATAAATAAAACACGTACATATGACGGCCGAGAGTACGAAGCAAAAAAAAAGAAAGGGAAAGGAAAACGCTGTTGAAATTGATTGCACAAGACGACGGACGATAGGCGACAATATGTTGTCGATAATGGATAATGCACCGCGATTTAACAGCTACCCGAGTGCCAGCTCTACCCAACTACCGTCCCTAGCACCCCCCTCCCCCATCCACAAACTGAGCTTTTAATGCAGCATGCGGCTTTTTTCTTCTTCTTCTTCTCTTTTTCGTTTTCCTTCTCTTTAGTGAATTTCGTGCATATTTCTTATTAAATGTCGTCGATATTAACGCCCCACAAAAGCTGACGAATTGCATGCAAAGACTCTGTGAGTGCCCCAACGCCCCCCACCAAGGCACGGCAGGCGCTGCACGTGTGGCTATTGTATGTGGCAACACAATGCAAAGACTTCGACATGAATCCGCAATATGAAGAAATATATATATTTTTATTTATATGTATAGCTCATATATATACATATATACTCTTATAGACGGCAGCCTTTGTCATGTGAAAATTTAAGCAAAGAAATGAATATGTGATAAAAGATTGACATGAAATATATGCTGCATATAATAAATGCACATACATTTCGGTATATAAATATATGTCCTCGACTGTAGCTTATTAAATTATTTATAGACTGACCCTTGAGTAAGGCTAGCAATAAAATATGTATATGAATATGAAAATAAGAAATAATATGAAATATATATATAAATGAAATATATATATAAAACTTTCCATTCCTTTCATAATCAATATTTCAGGGACGTTGCTCATGCAACTCGATAGATGTATGTATATATATCAAAAAAATTTTAAATATTACGCTTCTTCCAAGTAACCCTCATACGATCTACAATGTGAATCGGTTTCAACAATTTCATACAATTTCAAAATTTCAAACAGATTTGTTTCCTTGCGCTTGAAATGGAAAAACTTTAGTCCCAAGCTTAATTTAGAGCGTTTCAGCTATAAATATAGTTGCGTATGGATAAATAACTTTATTTTGCTTTGCGTTTCTTATGGAGCAATGCCATTACATATGCATTTTGTGGGAAGACCCGCATGTGCAGCTAGACAGAGCTAGAGAGACAGAGACAGAGGGAGAGAAAGGGACATGGCACTTTCCGTCGGAATGCATTTTGGAGGAGCGAGCGGGACTGCTGTGCAAATGGCAAAGAAATCATTATTTATAGGCAATGGGTGGAAAACAGAGAGCCACAGATCAACTGCCAGACAAACAAAAAGAGAAAGAGACGAGCGAGTGAGGGAGAGTCAGAGAGTGAGAGAGAAACAATGCCTGGCAGACAGGACATATCGAAATAAATGCAAACTGTTGCCAAGACATACGACCTGCAGAGACCATCAATATAAATTTCAATATGACCAAAAACATATTTGCCATTAGCCAAGAAAGAAGAAGAAAAATGCTAGCAGACCGCACAATCAAAGGCAGCCAATGGACAGCAGACACTCTCAAACTGTATCTGAGTAACTATAATCTATAGATCAATTAAACTGCAGTTAAAAGTAAAAGCTTATCCTTAAATCAGCATTATAGATGGGCAATAGCTTATGTAGAAATTAAATCGGTTTAAATTTGTGCATTATTTATGCTCTATCTATTCTATAGAAATTTAATAAATTTTTATTAAATGTTTTTATATGTTAAGTGTTCCGTTGCAGGATTTTATTAAAAATTTTTATAGATAAATATATGACTTTGCTGAAAACTAGCTTCATGGTAAACTGACTTCAAAATGTTTAGTAAAATGTTTAAAAAAATATATATAGCAAACAATTAAGGATAACAACAAATTAGTATCACTAAATTAAAAAAGTTAATTTTTAAGTAAAGTCATTTTTAAATTGGTATACAATATTTATTTATTGTATGTAATATTTATTTTTTTTTATATTTATGCCATTTTTTGAAAGGCTTTTTCAACGGAAAATATAATAATAAAATATATTTTATTAATCATCATTAATCATAATATAAAAAAATTATAATAATATAAATAAAATATAAAATTTATAATAATATAAATAAAATATAAAAATATAATAACAATATAATAATATAATAAAAATATAATAATAAAATATATTTTGCTAATCATCCTTTGTATATATAAAAAATTTAATAATATAAATAAAATATAAAAATATGATAATATAATAAAAATATAATAATAAAATATATTTTATTAATCATCATTAATTATGATATAATAAAATTATAATAATATAAATAAATATAAAAATATAATAATATAATAAAAATATAATAATAAAAAATATTTTGTTAATCATCCTTTATATATAAAAAATTTAATAATATAAATAAAATATAAAAATATGATAATATAATA